TTACTGGCTCTAGTACATTTCTGTGATTGAAAAATCAATCTTCCTGATACTGGAAAAAATAATTTCATTTACAAGTAGTCCTAAGTACTTGGAGGGAGACTTCTTTATGGTAATTTGGTAATGGTAATTACCAAATGGTAAAAAAAAATGGTAATTTTTTTTAAAAATTTGATTTATGTGCCGCCCTTCTCCGAAGACTCAGGGCGGCTTACAATGCATTAAGCAATAGCCTTCACACTTTTGTATATTTATACAAAGTCAGCTTATTGCCCCCACAAACTGGGTCCTCAATTTACCTACCTTAGAAAGGATGGAAGGCTGAGTCAACCTTGAGCCTGGGGAGATTCGAACTTGCAGTAATTGCAGGCAGCTGAATGTTAATAACAGGCTATTAGTCTGCTGCGCCACCAGGCTCTTGAAATTTTTGTCACAAATGCCAAGAAAATTAGGCAGCGTGTCCTGTTTTTTTCCCATTTTTCCTCCTTTTCAAATGTCCATGCCCCCCTTTGCCTGTTCAGATATCTCATAAACAAAAATATAGCAGTTATGGACTCTAGGAATTACAGGAAACAAGTAAGAACTAACCAAGTATGCTAATATTTATATTAGTGCAAAACAAAGATGCAACTGATTGACAGTGAAAAACAGGTGCTATGTCTGTACCCCAATACTCTCCTGAGCACCTTTTAGAATCAAATCCATAGCACTTTATAGACCAAATGCATAAATGGATTTATAAAATTTTCTTCAGTTTGTTATCATTGAAAATACTTTAAGAGCTCAAGGATTTAAAATCATAAAACTTAAAATATGAAAAAAGTCAGCAGGCTATAAACATAGACTTACTTTGTGAATGAAATGAGTGGTCTCTAAATTTGATAAATAAATTTTATAGATTAGTAGTAGTAACAGAGACCCCCAACCAAATTCCAGTAGCACAAATTCAGACAGACAGCAAAGAAACAAAAACACCTAGGGAAATAAATTAATCTCCCTAGTGCCAACCAGGACATTTATAATTAGGGTGCTATTTTATGTTACCACTCGGTTATCCTGTTTGACTGAAACCACCCTCTAGGAATGTTTGATTTGCCTCTATTTTTTTTACCCGTAAATCACTCTCAGATCTACTAAGAAATAAAAGGATGGTAAGAAAAGTTGAACCCAGAATATGTAATTCCAGTTGGTAGAATCTTAAGAATTATTTTTGTTGTTTTAGCTAATAGCTGCCGTATTTGAATCACTTGGGATTCTGAAGGTAGCATTTTCAAAAATAAGGGATTTTTTTTGTCTTTTCAAAACTTTTTTTTTTCTTAGATCCTAATTTGACAGAGGTCTAAGTTCTTGATAACTGCCTTTCTGCTTACATATCACTTCCGCTAGTGATCTCAGGTCAATGAGATATTTCAAAATTTTTCTCTTATTCAGTTATACATACAATCTAGACTATAAACTTCAGAGCTGCTACCTTACAGCAACCATCTGTTTCCTTTCATATTGTAACTGATATGTAAAGAAAGATGTTTGGGAGAAAAGAAAATACAACTAATTCAGCTTTTGGCTAGGCATCTTCCATAGTAGTTGGAGCAAGCAATTCTGTCCATCATTGGCATTTTGTATTGAACATCACAAAGCATGCAGAGTTGGTAGATATATGCAAAGATCCAACCATTATCAGTGCTCTAGTTTTCTATTTATGAATGTATTGCTAACTTTCTGTTGAACACATATTAGGTGATACCATAGAAATGCTTGCAATTTGGAATGAGATAATCAAAAGATTTTATAGGTGTCTTTCATGAATATGGAGACATCTTCATATGAATAGTGAGAAACTGTTAAAAGTGATCAAAGAAGAGATCTTTGAACAACTGAAAGTTGAATGTGACAGTTCTCCAGACATTCTCTTATTCTTTTACCCATTCTCACTATTCCTATTTCTTTATCTATCTTTTGTGACAGGACTTGAATCTTGATTATTGTCACACAATGTGGATATTCTGCATGTAAAGCATATTATTATTCACTTATTATGTAAATCAGACACTCACAGCCTACCAAAATGAATAGAAATGTGTTACAGTAGGCTATGTGAGTTTCTGATCTTAATGGCATATCATCCTTCATTATGAGTATAAGAGATGATTCCATGTCAAGTTAATGCTTCTTATACTTATTTTAGATTTCTTTATTTATTTCAGCTTCAAAAACGTCCCACTCCAAACAAAAATTTCACACTGGACTCATGTCAACTATTAATTTTATCTCACCTATCTCATAAGATGAGATCTCAGCTGCCTCAGTCTTCCTTGTGTACATTTCTATCTTAGCATTAGAAAACTAGAGCCAGGCATTTCAGAATATTGAATTCTAGTGGCTTGGTTAAAACAAATATCCCCCCCCCAAAAAAATCTGCCCCAATGCCAAAGCTACCAATTGGATTGAAAAGATTAACATTTATAACGGAGTCAATTGTGTGAGAAGATCTGAACTTAGGTTGCAACTGCAATACCATGATACTAAAATCTTGACAGCTGGCCATTTATGCAGGGTCAACTAAACATAATGGCCTGAACCTCTGAAGGAATGTGCCATATAAAAATATATGTGCTATACAAATATTTATAGCTAGTACCGGTAGCAGCAGTTTTGCATGAATGTCTTAGGCTCCTGATTCCAAGGCTACCATGCTGAAAAAGGAAAAATTACAAATGAATCCAAATGAATACCAACAGCTAATGCTATTGATTATAACTGCAAGAGTTTCATAGTATCATTGTACCATTAATGAATAGTAAAAAAATCTTTACTATAATAACAAATTAGTACAAAGCGTAGGTTAACTTGGAAATAACACTAGTTTGACTAGTTGCCAGGGCCACCATTTATGTTTGCATCAAAACTGAATAAGAATTATAATGATAGCAGTTTTAGGGTAAATGTCTATGAAGATTTTCAGTCAACCAGGTCATGGTTGTCCTAAAAGTGCTTTTTCAAAAAGCAACTGGACTTTCTTGTTTTTTCTTGAAGACATTTCACTTCTCTTCCAAGAAGCTTCTTCAGAAATGTCTTGAAGGTAAAACAAGAATGTCCAATTGCCTTTTGAAAAAGCACCTTTGGGACAGTTTTAGGGTAGTTTGTGAAAGATACAAACTGTTGCACATCATTCATATCTAGCTGTGGGCACATAAAACATTAAACTGGAATAATTCCATTTGCAAGCTTGAAAATGACATTTTACTAGAATTCTTCAGATACTTATATGATTTACTTTAATAGGATGTGTAGTAGGAGTAGGATATTATTGAAATGTCTTTGTTTAATTTTTGTACTGTTAAGCCCTCTGAATATTCATGTTGATTTACAACAGAAACTAAAATAGATTAATATATCATGAAACAAAATATGATGATGTGTATCTATTGATATTAAATATTTAAAACTTGTGTTAACAACTCTGTTTTGAACACATTCCTAAATATGGGGAAATGAGAATGTCATAAGGATCACTTGGGAAGACTGTTCCAGAAAATTGAAACCATTACTGACAAACAGAAGCTTCAACATTGACTTTTTAGTCCCTTTCCAAATCTTGACCAAGACCTGGTCAGGATTTCCATCATAACATATTATCAGAATTCCTTGGACAGAAATGTCTGTCTAGATATCATCAGTATGCTTATGATGAATAACTTCCCTTAGGAATTATTGTTGGTCAATTTAGTTGGCAGAATGGTACAATAATAAATTGAATGAGAATTGTCCATTATGAAGAATTCTACATTATACTATTAAAAATTAAATATACTCTTGAACTGAGTTTAATCCCTACTGACTGTAAGAATATATATGATTTTTTGGCAGAGAGAGTGTTTGCCACTTCCTTCTGGATTTTCCCCCCACTTGTCAGTCTTGTCCACAATCCTGAATTTCCATGTTAAAAATTGATCAGATAACATTTTCTTTTCAATATTATAAATGCAAAAATTCCCAATAAAATGTTGCCCCTCAGATTGCTATTCACATGCATTTACTTTTTAAATTTATATGCAACCCATTTCACTGTGAAAACAACATATAACAGAATACCTTGGCACTAAGGAGACTCAGAACCAATTTTTATTACTTTGGGATTGCTGCAAATATGGTGTTTTCTGTCTCCTACTTTCAGACCATTAATAAAATATGCACCAAAAAGTTGTGAATTTTGGCAATGATTTTAAAATACGGCAGTTAGATTGCTAGTTGGAACATGCCAGCATGATCGTATTCAATGCCCATTCTTTACAAATTGCAGTAGCAACAATTTCATTCTGGGTTCAGTACAAAGTCCTGGCATTATCCATTTCACTTAGTTGAAAAGCTGTGGAAAAAGATATCTTAAACATTAATCTAATCTAGAATGCACGTGCTCATCTAAGTCTACTCTAGAGATGCCTCTACCAAATTAGGTGAATTTAGAGGTCAAAAGAGAAAGGATGCTATGTTTATGGAATTCCTTTCCTACAAAGATTTGTCAGAGGTCTATTTTAAAGTCTTTTCAATAACCAACCAGATAAAATCTTAATATTTTTCTAAGCATTAATACTGTCAGGGCTTTTATAATTTAACAGTGTTTAACTATGAAGATGTTATAAATGCTGTATGTATTATAACAGCTGTTGATGATTTATCCTGATTATTGTCCTTTGTCTTTATTAGGTTTACCAGAAAAGTGTAGTTATTATGTGGTTTAGAAGCAAAGTGCATAAGCAACAAAGTCAGTCTCAAGACATTTATAGATTAGTTATCCATAGATTACTGGTAGTTATCTCTTTGCCTGATATCAAGACATTTCCTCATGAATTTTATTAAAATTAGAGAAGTAAATGCTACATTAAAACTATGATAATGTCATTTTTTTCAATATTTTTGATAACATATCAAAGCAAGTTTAATCTTTTTTTGTGCTATATAATATTGATTAAAAAAAAAAGTATCTTCTCTTTTCCCTGTTGCAGCTTGCCCAGCAGGGATGTTCAAAGCTCATCAAGGAACAGGAGTCTGCACACAATGTCCTCCCAACAGTCGCTCCACATCAGAAGCTGCTGCCATCTGCACTTGTCGCAACGGATACTACCGGTCTGACTTTGATCCGTCAGAGGTAGCTTGTACTAGTAAGTACTATTTATTTATTTCTGAGAACAGGTTGGCTTCAAAACTAATTGGATCCTTCTTCATAAATAGAGCTGGAGAAACAACATTCAGGAATAGCCTGCATGATAATCATAGTGATAACCATGTTTTGGAAATGATCTAGAAGGGCACCGAACTTCAAACAAGTGCCAGCTCAACACCTTCCTGCATTTACTACAGCAGTCTGATTTTTCCCCCCAGGTTTAGATTTAAAAGTCATATGAATTTTAAGGAGACAATTCCTTAAAAAAGCCACAACCAGATGTTTCTTTCAAACTTGCATGGAAGCCTAAAAAAAATATGCATGATTTAATGAATAGCAGAGAATTGCTCACATGATGTCCAAATCATTTCTGAAGAATATGTACACATAAAAGATAAAGTTGTTAAAATTATTTTTAATAGACTGAAAAATGTTAGTTAACCTTTAGCTTTCAGACCAGTACATAGCTAATTACAAATATAGGAAGTCTATTTAAGAAGGGGAAAAAATCATTTTTTAACATGCACCAACAAGAAAAAGGATGTCATCAAAATTAGTATTTCCTAGCAGAACAGCAATAGTAGAAACACAGAGAAAAAAGTAAAGAAAAGAAAACTCATCAACAGCTATTATTACAAGATCTGGGAACAAAGGCTCACAATTTAGGGATGGATGATTGTTGTTGTTAGTCGCGAATTCATGTCTGACCCATCACAATCCCATGGACAATGTTCCTCCAGGCCTGTCTATCCTCTACTATCCCCTGGAGTCCATTTAAGATCACGCCAACTGCTTCAGTTACTCCATCCAGCCACCTCATTGGATGGGATGGATGATATTAACCATTAAATGTTAATGACAGGCAGAAATAAGTACGTATAATAAAAGGATGAAAACTTTGAGTCTTCTAAATGACTATCATTCAGATTATTGGCACGTATGTTATATTAGATAAAAAATAAATCCTTAATGATTTTTCATAATTAGTAGTAATTTTCTTTTCATGTGAATTTATCATTTTTAAAAAACATTTAGGACATAAATACCATCTCTTCATAAGAGATGCATTAGCAGTTGTAATGTTTTAATACTTAGTCTGTTGGTTTATCAAAGCTAGAAATTTAGGATCTCTGAAGTTTAACTTGATTGTGTGCGCATTCAAAGTATGCCAAAGAAATGGAATTGTCTATAATATCTCTGAAGGGAGCAGAAGACAATGGATTGACAATCCCATATTAGGGGAAAAAAAATTCTTGATAGCCTTCTTGATTTTTCAGCCTTACATCCAGTGTGATTTCTACTATTATCCGTTATTTCAATTTACATTTCATTTGTAATTCAATCTTGTTTTGGACAAATTAATATTTTGGAATTAATTTGTGTGATTTATTGTAATACCATTTTGCAGAAAGATTTTGAAAATTATTTTTCCCTGCTTGGAGACTGCTGGGACCCCCTGTATTTCCAGGGAAGAGGTGGACCTTTCCAACTTCCTTTGCAGCTTGCTTTCACAGAAGTCTATATTAGCATACTACTTTCTGCATAATGCTTCTGTAGGTAATTGCATTGTAGTTATGAGTTGCCTAAGTGTGTTTGGAATAAGAGATTAATTTCCATATTCTGCTTGATCACTGGTAACAGGAAGTGTAGTAAATAAATCTGTTTTTATTGCCTCTTGTTATATAGCTGATTTACACTATGCCTTACTAGAGAAGTACTGTATGTAAAAAAAAGTCAATTTGTTAGTTTTTATTTCTGCTCGTTAAGATCTAATTTTAAAATGTTTTAATTTGAGGTGCCAGATGTTCTGTTCCCAAATTGTTATATGCCATAGGAGTAAATAAATTCAGTACTGTATGGTAGCTGTTGCTGCTGTTCACTTCCTTGCCAGTGCATTTCCTGCTTTATGGAGCTTCTCACTAGTATGCTTTTAAAGTTCCTCATTTAGTGCTAGAGATGCAATTTTCATTAACTTTTATACATTTCACAAAACAGTAAAAATCAGGATTATTGTAATACTAAGGTAGAGTGGATAGCCAATAGATATTGCACTGAACCTTGTGAAACATTCTGTCTGTGCATGTATAACATTTGTGTAAAAGATTATGTTTGTTCCCACATCCCATCCCATCCCATTCAATTTCCAATTTCAATAGAAGAGAGAAAGGTATTTTTGGACAGCAAAATTCTGCATGTTGGGGGACAGGAATGGAATAATGACACTAATGACATTCAGCAAAAGCAGAAACAGAAACCCAAGGAACACATAAAATTTAAATCATTGGCTATATGTATCAAGAGGCTACTAGATTTTCCAGAGCCAATGAAAACAATGTGTGACTGGTAAGATGGACACATCTTACTCATAATAAGTCACAAAAGGTGTATTGGTTATTCCAGTTTGAATGCTTTTTTGTACATAACAGCTGAATAGGGATGGGAAATAGGGCACCAGGAGATTTTGCTTTATTCTGCATCAAAGGAGCAGTTGGTAGATATAGTCTATCCAACAATATGCTCCTAGGTAATGGCCCAAATTAACAATAGCTGTAAGTTCAATTTTTTTTCCTACCTGGTTCTGTGGGTGTGGCTTGATGGGGAGGGGTCATGTGACTGAGTGGGCATGGCCGTGTGTGACATCAAGTTGGCCATATTCACTCAGTCACATCACACACACACACACACCACCAAGCCATACCCACAGAACCGGTAGGAAAAAATTTTGAATATCACCATTGTTATAATGGTTATGAGTTGTTACAGTCTCAAACTTGTGGATTCACTTAGTTCCATTATGATTGCAGAATTAATATTTTGATGAATTGACTGATTTATTAAATATTTAAACTTATATTTTGTAGAAAAACAAGCTAAATTTAAAGCAGCTGAAAGCAAACCTTTTGACTTGTCTTTTTTGACCACAGAGAGCCATAGGTACTGATAGTAATTTTATGACGTTAGGAAAGTTGTTTCTTCCATTTCTAGCCAACTCTTCCCCTCTGCTCATCCAGTAAGAAATACTTCTTATTGTGAGCCTATTAAACTGTTTTTGGCAGCTTAATCTAGATAGTTCAGAACAGTGGAACATACTACAAATTATACAGAAATCACTCAAGAGTTCTACAGTTACATTTAAAATTTGAGCAAGAAGGTGTGTGTAAGCAGACAGAAAAACAACAGAACAATAACAATCAAATTACTATTAATAAGAAATACTATTTCAGAGGCCTGAAAAAGGCTTAACCTTCTGAAACTTAGGGCAAATAATAACAGTCATAGGTACGAATAAAATTTCCTATATATGTTTATCTATCTATCTATCTATCTATCTATCTATCTATCTATCTATCTATCTATCTATCTATCATATATATATGGTCATGCATTTCCTGAAAAGTGACTGGGCAATGTACAACAATTAAGCAAAACAATAAATATATAAAATAGTATTTGTGTGTGTGTGTGTATATAAATATTCATTATTAAAATATTTGCTAAGGAGACCTCTGTATGTAAACTCACAACTAGATTTAGAAAATGAAGTAGGCTAGCATATAATTGTCCATATTTTGTGACAATTAGAGAAGACAGATATGGAATTCTCAGCCCTCTTTTCCTCAATGTCTTTTGGGTTAAATGTACAGTTTTAAAATTATGCAGTATGTGTATTGAGTATATTAGCGTAAGAAAAAAGTAGGCAGAGCAGGGAGGGTGGAGAGTGGAGTTAAATGGGTCATCAGCCTAGAGTCATTACATTCCCACAAACAGTCTAAGTCCAACCACTCCTGAATTTCATTGACTCTTATCTGGTACCAGTTTAGTGTTGAACTTTAATTGAATATATTCTTGTACATGGGCTTGAGCAATAAATCTTCTCAACTGCAATTTAGTGTATAGTCCTGATTCTTTGTGCCTGACAGTTAGAAGCTATGACTGATTTGCACTTATTTAATGATATTAGAAATAGCATGCTTTTTTCCTCATCTACACTATTTCTCTGTTGCTGCATACTTTTCAGAATACAGCCCTAAGCACAGATCTCTGGCCCTTCCTATTTGGGTAGATTCAAATTCCCCAAAGGCAGAGGTGGGCTTCACATAATTTAATTACCAGTTCGCCTAGTGCAGAACCGAAAATGTGTCCCTTCTGCGCTTGCACGCAGCTTCAACCACATGGCAATTTCCTGTGCACAGCTTCAGCCACACCTTCTTGGGCAGCCACGGTGAGTAGAGCGGGCAAGGTGTGGAAATCAGCTGGGCTGTGTGGGCAGGATGAGCAAGCCAGAGAGTGAGATATATAGGAAGGAATAGCGCCAGGGTGGGTGGGCGGTCCCAACTGGTAGCTGGAACTACCGGTTCGCCCGAACTGGTCCGAACTAGCAGCAGCCTACCTCTGCCCAAAGGTTAATTTGTTGGTTATCAGGGCAGTACATGGGGTTAAAACAAGGAGTAAGTGGGACTGCTGCAAAATTGTACGGGCATCCTAGTTTCTCTTTCTCAATTCTCTTCCCACAAACAGCCAATTGCAGGCAGAAAGGGACAAGTTGCCGCAACTGGCTCACCCTTGCTGACTCACCCCAGCCAACTCACTGTGGGACAATTCACCACAGTCAATTTGCCCATGGGACAACTCTCTGCAGGACAATTCAACGTGAGATAACTGATGAGAGAGACAAGTAGAATTGCAGCTCACCCCAACCTTGAGAACAACTAACTTGAGAAAGTTCAAACCTAAAGCAAGACAATGCCCACTGCAATTCTCCTTGTTCCTCTCTTGAGTTATCCCACAATAAATAGTTATGCAGTGAGTTGTGCCATGGCAAGTTGGCCAGGGTGAGTCAGTTGGGGCAAGACAACTTGCCACAGCAAGTTGTCCTAGGCCTGATTGCAAGAAAAAGGTAGCTATCTCTTACCAGAGACCTGAACTGATTTCTTGCAGATGGTGTTTGAAATTAGCTTTGTAACTGGAAATAGCTCTGGAAACTTTATTTTAATCAAT